AGGCCCCGACAGACCCCGACAGTGCAGGAACCGGAGAGGGCAGAGCCACCGCCGGGGTGTGACAGCACCGGGACCGACTGACACCGCCACTGCCACCGCCGGTGGGTGCTGGGTGGGGATCCGGTGTTCTTGGGGGGGTGTTGGTGTAGGGAGGGCAGGAGCAGCGGGATGCAGGCAGGGGTGTGTGTGTACGTGTGTGTGTGTGTGCACATGTGTGTGTCTGTGTGTGTGTGCACATTGTGTGTGCACATGTGTGTGTGTGCACATTGTCTGTGCACATGTGTGTGTGTGCACATGTGTGTGTGTGCACATGTGTGTCTATGTGTGTGTGCACATGTGTGTGTGCGCATGTATGTGTGCACGTGTGTGTGTGCACTGTGTGTGTGTGCACATGTGAGTGCGCACTGTGTGTGTGCATATTGTGTGTGCACGTGTGTGTGTGCACATTGTGTGTGCACATGCGTGTGTGTGCACATGCGTGTGTGTGCATGCGTGTGTGTGTGCACGTGTGTGCACATGTATGTCTGTGCACGTGTGTGTGCACATGTGTGTGTACATGTGTGTGCACACACGTGTGTGTGTATGCACGTGTGTGTGCATGTGTGCAGGTGATGAGGTGCGGGTGAGAGGATGCAGGTGACAGGGTGACAGGTTGTGTGCACACGTGTGTGTGTGTGTACATGTGTGTGTGCGTGTACACGTGTGTGTGTGTACGTGTGTGTGTGCACACGTGTGTGTGTGTACACGTGTGTGTGTGTATGTGTGTGTGTGTGCACACGTGTGTGTGTGCGCAGAGCGGTGTGACAGTGCAGGTGTGCAGGGGGGTGCAGGTGACACGGTGCGGGTGACAGGGTGAGGGTAACCAGGTGCAGGTGACAGGGTGTGGGTGACAGGGTGCAGGTGACAGCGTGGGTGGCAAGCTGTGGGTGACAGGATGCGGGTGATGGGGTGGCAGTGACAAGGCTGCAGGTGATGGTGCAGGGGACAAGGTGTGAGTGACAGTGCAGGTGACAGTGTGGGTGACAGGGTGGGTGACAGGGAGCGGGTGACAGTGCGTGCAGGACCCTACTGCGCAGCAGCCGCGCTGGTGGCCCCGTGCCTGCCGGTGGTGGTGACGGTGACAGTGACACCAGGGATGGGGGATGGGGGTGACACGGTGGAGGTGACAGGGACACCGGAGATGGAGGGTCTGGGGACAGGGGGACGCGGTGACAGTGACACCAGAGAAGGGGGGT